GCATAACAATCTTTACACTAAAGATATGCTTGAAAGTGAATTCAAGTGAATTACATTTACTTGATAGTCATTTAATCCTTTTTAAAACATAAGGACTTTGTCTTAGGAAAGTCCCATTTGTAAATACTTCTAACCTAATGAGGATTCATTAAAGGTAAGATGTCAATCACGCATCCTAACGCTTACATAAAGGCAAACCTCCAAAGCTAAATCTATTCTTTCAATCCAGACAAGATGCAGACCCCAAACAGAGCAAAGAGAGGGAGACCCCAGAGAGCTGAGGACATTGGACTGTGAGGGGAACTACTTCAGGGACCGGAGCAAGTTCACCTGGTCAAACCTGCTAGGAGTGGTCAGGAGACATATGGTGGCAGTTAAACTGGACAGAGAGGGCAGTGGGTGGGCCACCTCAGTCAATGGTTTCTCTGTAGGTACCTGTGGATCAGAGAACAGGTGGCACAAGGGGCCAGAGCAACAGGATTGGGACAGCAACGAGGAGGAAGGACCCAGGAAGCCTCACAGGCTCCAGAGAGAGCAGCTTCTGTCTTATGTCAGCCTGACACTCGCCTCTGATCAGCTCAAACCATGCACTGAGATGATGAAAATGTTCTAATGCGTACGGGCAACTTCACAAAGCCAAGAGGAAAACCAGTGTAGGCCAGTGTGGCTTTTCATTCACAACCAACACTAGGCCCAGACACTTTGACAATGGGAGGGAGTGACAGAAGGGAGGGAGGGGCAAGCAACAGGGAGGAGAGACCCTGTCAGAGGGGCCACACTAAAATAACTGGACTGTGTGTGGCAGAAATCCCATGGAAACTATAAATACCTGAATAAAAATGTGAAACTAGCTATTTAGCAAATGAAAAATGAAGGAGATGAGTTTAGCAGCAGTTTACCTCGCAGGAAATTTTCAAATTAGTCCTGTGGACATCTGAATAGAAGAAATCACCAAAAGGAAGCAAACTGAAAACACATGGGGTCATAGAAAATGGCCCAATGTGTGCAACCCAAGTCTCAGACTCATTGAATGAGGGGAAAGTAGTGTTTCTTTTGAGATAAAAGGTGAGAATAATCTGTTCTAATATTTCATAAAAATATTAAATCACAGGTAAGAGTATGGGTCCCAAGGAAAAGAAGAATACTTCAGTTAAAAGTATATTTGAGAGTGACTTTTGAGATGGTTTCTCTGTGTAGTACCACTGGTTGTCCTGGAACTTGCTTTGTAGACCAGGCTGACCTTGAACTCACAGAGATGCCCCTGCTGCTGCCTCCCAAGTGCTGAGATTAAAGGTGTGTACCACTACCGCCTGGCTGAAGAGACTTTTAAGAGTAGCCAGATAAAAAAAAAGGTTATCTCTGAGCAAGGAACAATAGGAATGACAGAAATTTTTGAAGGGAACAAGATCTTCAGAGTGCTAAGAGAAAATAAATGTAAACCTAGTAAAGCTATACTCAGCAAAATTAACCTTCAAAGATTAGAGAAATAACATTTTAGACAAAAATTCATCCCCACTAGATTCTATTAAAGGAACTGTGACAGGGAATCATCATGGGTGAAAAGTTCCCATGGAGAGATGAGTCCAACCTGTAAAAAGGGTGTGTAGCCAAAATTAATCAACAATGCTCTTGAGTTTAAGTTAGATTAGAGTTGATGGGGTCAAGTCTGCTGTGGCATCCATAACAGTGATCAATAAAGGAATGTCAGAATAGTAATTTCAAAGTTGGTAGAAAAGGAAAACTGTATCATTAAAAAACAAAGTAAGAAAATGGAAATGGTAAGAGGTTGATAATTAGGGTTTGTAAAATACACTGACACATTTAAGTACAAACATATCAATAGCTGTACTAAATATAAATGAAAAAATCACTTAAGATAAATATTAGACTGTGTGTGAATACTGACTGAATACAAATACTGTTGTTCTTAGAGGAAATTATATAGCTTTATATTCAGATATCAGAAGAGAACACTGGAATCAATCATTTAGGTATGTAACTCACAAAGCCAGAAAGTCACAAACTCAAAGAAAATAGAAGACAGAGAAAGAATAAGGTTAGTAGAAATGAACGAAATAGAAATATATTCATCAGACTGTGTCCATAAAGCCAAAAGCTGGATTCCTAAACAAATTAACAAAACTGATAAATAGCCTCTGGAGAGACTAAAGAAAGCAATTATTGAAACCAAACAACCCTCTATGAGAGAAGGTCAAATATCCAATACCAAAGATGTAAAATGGGACAGCACCACAGTTCATACTGACCAGAGAAAAAGGACACTTAGCTAAACCTGAGGCCAGCACTGTCACAATGCCAAGCCTGACAAGGCATTTCAAGGAGGGAATGCTGGTCAGTCCTTCTTGCAAATATATTTGCAGTTAAACAAAATATGAGCCAGCCCATTATGCTTTATGATCAAGGTAAGAGGCTATTTATTCTAAAATTGTCAGGTGGACTTTCTATCCAAATAGATATATTTACCACATTAACTAAAATATGTCAGAAAAAAATTATCATCTTATCACCTCCAAAAGGTGCTTAAGTATCTGATAAAAATCAATACCTAAGCATATTCAAATTCATAAAAAAAAACTAGCAAAAGAAATGTAACTTGGTAAAACAAATAGGTCAATGAATAAGTTCCTCTGGAAAATGTGGCCTGTATCAACAAAAGGGAGCCAGGCTGCTATCTTTAACCCATCAGTCAAGTAAAGTTAGGTCAGTCAAGTAAAGATGGAAAAGACACAAGGGCATTGTGATTGGGAAGGAAGAAACAAGCCTGCCAGTATTTATGGACAAGGTGCTTCTATAGGCTGAAAACCTGAACCACCCTGCTGATAATTAGAACATGAGTTTAGCATGGTTGCTGGGCACAGAATCAAGAGTCAGCAGGTTGCTGATTGCTTTTCAAAATTGCAAAAACCAAGTTATTCACAATAGTCTTAAACCAATCAGATGGCTTGAAATATGCCTGCTAAAGTGCATTCAAGTCTCCTGCACATACAATTCTAACATTTTGTTAAAAAAAAAAAAAATTACAAAGAACCAAAGAATACTGAGGGGTTAGGAATAATCAATGCTGCAAAATTTCACATTTCACCAACTGGATACAGGGTCAGTCCACGTATCAGGCGATCCCAGGACATGTGTGGATCGACAACAACCAATTTCAAGACTTTTCAATGAAAACACTAAGTGCCAAGAGTAGGTAAGTAGGAAGTGGGAAGATTAGCATTGCTGTACTCAGGCTCACTTCCAAGCTGTGGTGACTGAAAAATTACCAGTATTGGTGCAATGACAGCAAGGGCTGATGTAACCAACACACACGGACCAGCTCCAGCAGAATGGATGTCCATAAAGTGGGAAACTACTCAAACGCTGCAAGATGGTGTGGGAGAAATGAGTGGTTTCTAAAACACAACCCAAAATTACACAAAGGAAACTGAGAGAATGGATTACGAATGTTTAACAAACACCATCGAGAGCAAAAAGTCAAGCTCAAAGGGAGAAGAGTGGACAATGCACACAACCCACAACAAGCTTTGTTCTATGACACACAAGTAGTAGCTCCACACCAAGGTAAGGGGAGGCATCTCACTGGGAGCACAGGCAAAAGACCCTGTGAACACACCCTGCCCACCAGTCAGTTGGAGACTCACACTGCACCTCAGTGGTAGTCAGGGAGGAGCAGCACTAGATGCCCAAGGGCCTACTCCAGAGCAGGGGTTGAGACGACCCACAGCGGCAGTGCCGGGGAGGCTGAAGACAGGCAGGCCCGGGGGGGGGGGGGGGCCAGCAGTCCAAATGCCCTCACTTGGGATTTTTTGTTGGGGGGGATGGTCCCTAGGTGCTAGCATCCTAGGTCCCATGTTACTCCTTGTTGTCATAGATACATCTATCTGCATCTTTGTATATCACATGCCAAAATGATTCTCAAACAATGTCAAATAACAGACTTTACAAGAATGTTTCAAGCATACGCATCTTGTTATGTGGTACAGATGGAGATTAAAATTCATACAAAAATTTGTTATAATGATTTATAAAGATGGCTAGCCATTTTCAGTGTTTGCAGATAAAGGATTGGGGGGTGCAATGTCTATGTGGTGTTTGAATGAGAAATGTCCCCCATAGGCTCATGTACTTAAATAACCGGTCCCAGCTGGTGGTGATGTATGTGGAAGTTATGGAACCTTTAGCCTTGCTAGGGGAAGTATGTCGCTGGGGAGGTGGCTATGGGGGTTTACAGCCTCACCCCACTTTCTGTTCTCACAGCGGCAGTGCCGGGGAGGCTGAAGAGATTCCATGTATGACTGAAATGTGATCAGCCTGCTTTCTGCTTCTATTATCTTGACCCATCTTCCCGCCTAACAGACTCAGACCCTCTGGTACCACAAGCCAAAATGAATTCATTTTTCCTGTAGTTGCTTTTGGTCAAGGTATTTCCATCCTAGCAACAGGAATGTAACTAATACAGTCTGCATGGTAGATTTTAGCAATAATGCGCTACCTGTGGTCTCTCAGCTATTGTCAAATAGGGCTATTCTTAGGGAGCTCAACCACATCCATATCTAAATCAACAAGCAAGACTATGGGAGGAGTGAGCCTCAAAGCTGGACTGGCCACACATGAATACATCCTCAGCTTCATGTCCACCTTTAGAAAATGTATGTGAAGAAAACTCAGGGAAGACCTCAGAGTCCAAAGGCAATGTGCTTTATGGCTTTACTATTCTATGTGTTTGCGAAGAATTCTGCCAAGTAGTCTCAAGATGCCTGAGTCAACTTGGGAGCCCCAGGATGCCCTTGCATCAAGGCTGATACTGAGTCCTCCCTGACACCTGGACGAAGCCAAAAGCAGGGGCACCGGTTAGCCTTCATGCCCAATGAGAGTGACCTGAAATAACCCTACTGAAGACACTGATGACTCCTACATGGGGCGACAAGCCCCTCCAGGTGGGGCCGCCCTGAGTCCTCACTGTGCCCACCAGCACTCACTCTCTTTGCCCTTCTCCTTGTTCTTGAGCTGCTGCAGCTTCTGCTCACGGTGCTGCTTCTCCAGCTCCTGCTCCTGCCGGTGCCGCTCCAGTTTCCGCTGGTGCTCCAGCAGCTCTTGCTGGTGCTTCATGGCCAGCATCTCCTGCTGCTGCTGCAGGCAGAGGAGGACAGAGGTCAGAGCCCTGGAGACCCACGGACACCCAGGAACCAGCCCACCACTCCCTGACTAGCGTTCCCAGGGTGCCACCTGGCCTACCTGCCCATTCATCTAAGGTGGCTACAGAGGAGGACAGGTTGCCAAGGCCTAAAATTCCTCTGCTCCTTTAAGGGCAGGATTCACAGTACAGTCTTGTCTCCATGCAGAGTACTCAGGAGGAGCAGGTGACCATGCAGGGTATAAATGCTCTTTGAGTATGCCCCAGAGAGCTGAAAGAGTGAGGCCAGTTTGTACCACTGCTGGGCATTTTCTTAGACATGGAAGACTTCCGAAATTCCACCTTAGGGATTCATCCACCAAGAATCCACAGTAAGAGTGTGCTTGCTACACACATGGCAGGCCCAGAGGCAAGCCCATGCTCCTCAAGGTGAACAGACAGACAACAGTATGCATTCACCTGAGGCAATGCTGTCCACCTCAAAGCAGATTAGTTGGCAACAGGCAAAAGCACAAGGTTGAGTCAGAAACTAGCCAATTCAACAGGGCATTGGGTGGCACAGGCAACAGCATGAAGAAGTCGATAAAGGTTCTATCTCTGTCAAGTTCTAGAGCAGGAAAGAGCACTATGACATGACAAAGATAAGAAGCTGTTGAGGGGACAGAGAGGTAGGGCAGGAATGTGGGGGACACCCCAAGACATGCATCACCACCCACAGCCATGGAAATGCACTTCATAGCATACCTAAGGTCTCGGCATCTTTTTGAAGACATTAGAACTCATGATTAAAAATTTGACATGTCTAATGGCATGAAAATGTAAGGTCCTTATGAGAAGTAGTTAAAGACGTAAGGTAAAGAAGAGAGACTGCAGGATTTATGATACATAGACAAACTGCAGGTGAATATTGTCATCAACTGAGAAGACTAACAATCTCCCCACTACAGAGGCTGAAGCACAAAGAAAGTAATGCATGCCCCACTGGTCAGTTCCCCGGCCCTACACTGCAAAGGCAAACAAGAGCCCTGCCTCCAGCCCAAGCACACAACCTCTTACTTCAGCAAGGCCACTGGCTTCCCTTCTCTTGGTCTAAGAGCAGTTTCCAGCATTAGTGGATGGGTACCCTGTGGGCATGGGTACTTTGTTGGTGTTGCTTCCTCATGGAAGGAAGAATGGCAGGGAGTATTGACCAAGGAATTGACAACCAGGTGGCCCTAGGAACATTCTATGGAAAAAAGTCAGACAGAGTGTCCTCACCAAATCGAGTGATCAGTGATTATGTATGGAGACAGACTAGACCAGAACAGCCAGCCACTCAAGACTGTGAAGGTCACAGCTCAGAATACAGTCATGACAGGAATCCAACCGGTGCTTGGGACCTTTGGGGCGCTTTTTTACCTACACCCAAATCTCTACAGGAGGGGTGTGTGATGACAATATGAATATATCTGGAAGCAACTGAAACCACAAGCTGTTGGAGTGGTTGGGCCTTCCTGTGTCCTGTGAAGAATTTCCTTTACTTTCTTTCTTCCTTAAAAAACAAAACAAAAACAACAAAAACAAAACAAACAAACAAACAAACAAGAACCAAACAGGGTATGTAGTCCTGGCTGTCCTAGAACTCCCAATGTAGAATGTAGAATAGGCTGACCTAGAACTCAGAAATAACTCTGCTTCCAGAGGGTTGGGTTTAGAGGCATGCACCAAACATGCCTGGTATTGTGAGGGATTCCCTAATCAGACTATTTGCAGCAGAAAGACCCACTCTTATAGTGGGAGCCCACATAAAGTAGATGGAAGGAAACTTTGCTTTTGCTTGCTTGCCCTCACTCACTGGCAAGTTCCTCTATCTTGCTGCTGAGACAGTGATTTCTTTGGCAGTACTTCTTGGCCTACTTCTTTGAGATCGCAAGGTAGACTGAAGATCAGGGTTCCTCCAGGATCCTGTGCCAGACTGTGTTTGCTGAGACATCCAGCCTCATTCAGACCGAACAACTACTGCACTCCTGGTCTTTCACCATGAGGCTATGAGACCACAGCCTGTAAGCCAGTCTACTAAAGGCCCCTCTAATGCACATACACCCAGTGTACCATCCTATTCCTTTAGAGATCCCTGCCCAAGAGGAAGCAGTTCAAAGTAGGAAACTGAGAAGCAGCCTAGCAAAGGTTTCTGGCTCCTGAGCGGGGTTCCCATGATGCCTATGTGGGGGCAAACAACTGGCCTTTCAACCGATGCATGAATACATGAACAAGCTCACAAATGAGGGCCAAGCATGTGTGCATCATCTGAATGTGCACAGGTGTGGTTTTGTGCACATGAGTGTGAAGATGGCTGCCCTTCATGGATGTTGCCTCTTGTCTCTGGCAAGGCTTTATGGAAGATGGACAGGATGTACCCAAACATGTCCAAAATGGTGTTGGGTGACCACTAACAAGAGGAGCCCGGGCCAGCCTTCAGGCATCGCCAGCAGTGGTGTATGTACCATGCCAGCTCCAAGGAATCACCTGGAGAATCCTCCCCAGTCCAGGAAGACAGGAGGTTAGTTCAGCCAGAGTTACCCTGACACACACCTCTCAAAGGGCATGCTTCCACAAGCGTGCAAGCTGCACACAAGGATTTGGCCTGTACCATCCTCTAACCACAGGCCTTGCAGCTCCCTAGATGTATTTCTCAAGACAGTGTCTGTCAGCTTCCACAATCAACAACAGCACTGGGTAGACAGAAAGAGGTGGAACTGTAAACTGCTCTGAGTTTGTTCCAACCAGAATCATAATATGCCACTTACTCAGCTTGTGAAGTTCAAGTCACATCATACCAAGAATGTGATGGAAAAGTGACAGCAACTGTATAATTTTATACGGGGACATTCTTTATCTACCCCAATTTTCAAGCCGGTGTATCCCAGGAATGGAATACAGACCCTGAGCCACTGAGATGACTGTCAGCGAAAAGTAAGAATTTCATGAGCAAAGCAAACAGGACTACTAGCTTCCTAGTGACACGTGCACAATACAATACACTACCCTGTGGATCTAGCCTGGGAGATCCGGGCAAATCCTCAGGTTACCAGACCTGTGGCTAAAGCTAGCCCTAGACCTTAGGACAGAGACAATAGCTCTGTCCTCACCTGTGTCACATGCCCACAACCTGCAGAGCAGGTATCCCTGGCCTTACTTCCCTGTTGCTACGGAAGCAGCCCAACACCAGAGCCTCATGGGACTTCTCAGAGCTGTCCAGTCACAACTGTGGTCACATGCAGCAAAGGTTTACTGGCAGACTGAGCAGGTATCACTGGAGACTGCAAAGGCCCCATAGTCCCTGTCCAAGGAGATTTGAGGGGGCTCTCCAGAGAAAATCAGCTACATCTACAAACATATTCACTAAGAATATTCATGGGGCAATGGCCATTTCTAGCCAGGTGTATGGGGTAGATTAACTGGAGAGGGGACAGGCATTCCCACAATCACTCAGAAAAGGGAATGGGAGAACATTGGAAAACTGTGTCCAGTCAGGGGTGACCACTTGCAGAAGGCCTCGCATGTTGTCCAGAGGCAGCTGAGGGACCACAGGTCAGACTGTTGGCTCCCTGGTTTATATTTAAAACAGCCACTGCAATGGTCTTCTGAGAGAGCAAAAGAAGCAAGAAGCTCTATGTCCAGAGCTGGCAGCATGCTTCTGAGGACTTTGAGGTGGCACAGCAGGAAGGAACAGGCGGGCAGGCCAGCTGCCTGGCCTGCCTTGGTCTGTCCTTTGCTACCTGCCTTGCCCATGTTTCCACTGGGCAGCAGTACTGTCCCACAATGAACACCAAATGACAAGGAGCTGGGAAAGCACTCTAAAGATCTGGTGGGAGGTGAGCATTTGCACTTCAACGTCTTTACTTTGAGCCTGCTTGTGAAAGATATCTCCCAAAGAGAATGGTGTCTTAACACCAGATAGCTAAATATCACTCTGATGTCAAGATAAGGATGCTGGAGAAACACAGCCTAGCTGGATGGATGGGTGAGAGACCGAGCCCAAGAGATTTACAGTCTCAAAACCACATCTTCACTTAGCCACCCTTGTTGCTAGCAGTGAGCATAGACAGGTCTAACACAAGTTGGGATCTAGGCTCCTCCTGGCCAATGGCACCGAGACACTGAACCCGACTTTTGATAATAACTTTAGAACAGTAACATTTTCCTATCCTTTATAGGAAAATTAAACTCCAAGACTAAGCACCAAAAGTAAAGACATGGAGATTAAGCCATACCCTCTATTGGTTTCATTCCAAGAGACTGCTTGCTCCCATTCACTTGGGAAACCATGAGGTTCAGAGAGTGCTGAAAGGTATGGTAGTGTTATCCACAGGTAATGGCACCTCCCAGGTGTTACTAGGCAATTGGCATCAGGTAACTCTACCTGCTTTAATTACCTTCAGAAAGCAAACATGTTGACATTTTTAAAACAATAGTGTAATTAGTTTATAATCATCCATTCCAAAAACCAGGCCCATAGCTGAGAACAGACTCACAGTACTCCCTCCCTTGGAACCTAGAAGGAAAGTGTGTTTCCTCTTACAGTCACAAAGACACACAAACCTGGAATTCTCGAGGCACAGAAGTCCACAATAAAGATTTTAGATTACAAATAACGACCAGATTCCCAAAGATACCCCACGGCAATAAGGCTGGCCCTGTGTGAGTGTCATGACATCAGACTAATGAGATATTCTGCACCTTACAAGTCACATAGCCAGGGTGGAAAGGACTAACCAGATATGTGCTCCTCAGCCCAGCACAGACAGGACACTCTAACAGTGACCCTTTGTACCTAGGGCCATCGGATCTTAACTTCTCTCCTATCTCTGATCACACACAATATCTGTTATAAAGAACTCCCTAGTCAGCTTCCCAAAAGCAGGGCTTGTACAGTCCACGGAGAAGGGTGACATACATGCAGACACACTGGAGTGTAGAACTCATGCTATAATCGCAGGCCTTCTGGGAGTGCTAA